ACAACACAGAATTGTACAAACTACGAAAAACTGCAATCGGACTACCATCTGAACTACAGTGTACTAGATTAAAGCTTATTTAATGCAAAGCAACCTCACTGATTTCACCAACAACACGGACTGAAGCTTAAAGTACGCGGAAGTACACTCAACTTCACCAGATGCTAAATTATCAACCACACTAAACTACGGTCAATTCATTTCTACCACAACTATACTTAAAAACTATATGAACTTTTAATGATAAGGTTTTCACGTTTCAACAGGTTATCATGAAAAAAAACTGAAGGCAAAAACTTAAAATCACCTTAAGGATGGTCTTCTACGTAGCGGCTGAGAATTGATATGTCAGCACAGTAGCGAAAAATGTCAAGCATCACACTTTCACGATCAAAATTTTAAGAGATAAACAGTTGTTACCATGGAGAAAGGTTTCATTCTCAAAAACAATTGAAGTGTGAGCTGTTCAACAATAACTGTTGAAACAATGTTCTGATATCCTAAAGTAGGCGTTTTAGCCTTCACTGACATATTTTCATCTCAACAGAAAATGAATCATGTCTTATACAGAATTTTCGCCACATTTTGAATCACATTTCGCCAACACAATAACAAGTTTGTGTCATCCTTCACTCGTTTAACTTTCGTAAACTCATAAATATTACAAGAACTGGCCATACGTTTCTCAGTCCTAGTGTTCGAGTGCTCATAACAAATAAACAGTATATTTCGGAAGACTTGGCAGCTGTTTCTATCAACTCTCCTGTCGATGGGAAAGATGACAGGAGAAAGAGAATCCAGAGGGGAATAGTATTTTCAGCCGCACGATCGATCATTTTGCACGCGCTGGCCGGGTCACTACACTTTTATCACTGGCATCACTGACAGCAGGCGCTGATGGTAGATTAAAGTCATTAATTGGAAAATAATTTGTTCCTTGTTGCCTTTTCAGCTTTACGGGTTGAGTCTGTTGCAAACATCATACAGTTGTGATTTAATAAAAGCGAAATCCCCTGCGAATAAAGGTAAGCCCTTAATGGTTTAAATATGATTGTCATCGTAAAAAGTGGACGACGAAGCGGAAAGTATTAAATCACTTTCATGAGCTAGCCTAAAGGCAATTATGTTGTTATGCTGTCCTCATCAAAATGGCGTCTTCAGGTCCAATTTCAAGAATCTGTCTCGTCCTTGAGTTCCGCGGCATTTTGATCTCGGATCCTAAAGTTCGTTAATTCCCAAATCTCCTGAAAAGCTAATAGAGAGAAACATGATTCGTTTGCGGTAAAATTTTGCGATTAAAAGGAATGTGAAAGTAAGGCGAACTCGTTATGTCCGAACTTGATAACAAGGAAACATAACTCGAGGTACGCGCAACTTGTTTTGGGAAAAAAATAGCAAAGATAATTCGGTTAGAAGTGGATAAATATGCTTCTCATTTATCGCCGAACCAGTGTCCGAGTAGAATATGGTTTGATGCAGATTGTTACTGCTGTGTTTTTGGCCTCTTGTTTTCTATTATCAAATATGTTTCTGATATGGTTTAGAACATTTGTAGCTTAACTTTTAGTGTGCATCTGGGGCCATACTAACGGCTAGCAGAGGGTAAGCCCGATTTTTTTCATTTTACTGAAGTATTTAGAAAATTGAAGATGGAAATTTGCCTACAAAATTTCGAAATAACTGCTATCTTTGCATTACAATATGGCCGCCAAGAGTTGCCCACCAGCGCGGGAAAATATAGTCATACTCACAATAGCGCAAACATTTTTGGTTTATATCGAATACATCGCTAAAAATAAGAAGAGACCTACAGGAACCAGGAGGTTTTCTTTACGACTGATGATTCCTGAGCGTGCACTATTTACAAATAGGCATTCGATGCCGTGAGCAACGACGCAGAAAGATAAGTTTAATTGCGCGCCATTTGAAACTGACAGAGAGGGTTCGAGCTCAGAATTGGTGGCACGACCTCCAGCGAAATGATCATATGCGTAATAAGCGTGATGCCGAAAATGTAGGAGTTTTTATGGGAATATTTACGACCACTCTAAGGAATTAAAAATACAGTCAATTTTCAATGAAAAATGCCTCACCTTACTTCCACAGTGTATCGCTTGTTGTCTGAACGCTTACTTTGTTAAAACGAGGCCGTTATAGCGAGTTATCGTTACAAGGTTGCACACTCCATTTCCGAATATCCGATCTGAGAAGCGAAAAATACATGCTCAAAATGACCGAGCAGCCACAAATCCAACGCAGAATCTAGCCAAATAATCTGTAGTTTCATTTCAATTCTCTACCAACTTGATCCTCCCGGTGGAACCGACGCCAAGCCGCAGTTTGCTTCCAAAATTTCCAGTTTACACGTTTCTAACAACCCACGAACACATTCAACACGACACGCGACCGTTGAAACCGTTAAATTGGTGTCAACTTACGGCGTGGTCCCTTATTTCCTACGAGTGGTCATAAATATTCCCATACAAACTCTTTCATTTTCGCCATGACGCTTATTACACAGGATGATCGTCTCAGAGCTGGAGCTTGGGCCGCCTGTGAGCTCAGAGGCAGTGATGCGAGTTAATTAGGAGCCTCAAACCACAGAGGCCACGTAGAGTTCACTAAACATAAGGAACATGGCACGAGATGTTATTCTAGCACAATTCAGACTCTATAAATATTACAAAAAGAGGCAAAGAAATCAAGCAGCAATAAGAACACACTATTAATGTGACTCGAATTTCCAAAAAGGCGAAATTCACCAGCCACATTATAATGTAGTCATGGAAGGGAAACTTTTCGCTTGAACAGTAATTGTCAATTAATAAGTCTTAATAGCTGTATTGCAAATCAGACTTTGATCTCGCTGCCCTAGTCAAAATAAAATCCAAAGGATGACTGATCACAAATGAATAACAAAGGCAATTTTCTTCAACAGTTACGTTGAGAAACCAAGATATGAACATATATGAATTTTTCGATGGGAAATAGAACGTAATGATAAAGAAATATCAAAAATAAATAATAAAATGATATGATAAAAATAAATGATAAATAAAATGATAAAAATAAATGATAAATAAAATGATAAAAAAATAAAATATTTGACATTCCTGCTTCTTAATTATCACTTTTTCCAATTGCTTTTTAATCGACCAACTAACACCATTCGATTTCTACGTTAGGAGACAGCCGAGAACCCAAATCCTCGCAAGTTTCTATTGAATCTTACCATAAATTTCCTCAGATCTTTACTTTGCCAGAAGAAAGATGTCTTTCAGGAATAGTGATTTTCATGGATTCTTATCTCTCTTTATATAGAAGTTTCTCAGGACTTGCTGCTCCGACTCAGTTTTCATTAAGACCATCCACTACCTTGAAATTACTTCTTTAGGCCATTCACGACAATTTTTTGTGTATGTTGAAGAGCAATGTGATCATTGGTTCACCAATCTGTTAATTATCTGCTCTCTTCAGCTTATTAAGCAAGAAGACTGAGGCGAATCATTTGCATGCAAATTAAGAATCCGGAATTTTCGCAAAACATTTACAAAGCCTTTTTTGCCAGTCCCGCTTTTTCCTAGAAAAGATATTTTTAATCACATCAAAGAATGCAAACGACAGTTACTCCATAGTGTGTTTACCACATGATTTGACACGAACAGTATGATATCTATCATTAATTTTCCTTTTGTGTTAGCCAATCAGAAAATGTTGATGGAACAAAGCCCCTGAGCTGTAACTTCTAAAGCATAACGGGTTTCATTTTTTTCTTAATTCGGATCTTGAATGTAGATGAAAGGAGGAAAGGAACCCGTCGGTTTTGTTTTGATCAGGGGCACTGCTAGTAAATTCTGTTAAACGGATTCTGAACAAGACGATAATAGTTGCCTACAAAGTACTTTTCGTATCTAACCCTAAGGGAAAAGAAACAGAGACTTATTGATCTATTTTTGTCGCGAGAATTAGTCGCAAAAGTAGCGTGACATGAACGGACAAATTAACCTCCATTATCCTAGAGACAGGGGTTCGTTTTTGCTGTAAAGAGCTCAGAAATTAATGCAGATAAAAGATATAATATTTTTTATTTATTAAGGTAAATATTGTTTTTACGTTGAACTCTTGCACCTTTACATGATTTTCATGCAAGGACTTTGTCCATTTTCTGGGACAAGCTCTTCAAAGCACTCCTATGTTTTTAAATCTCTAACGAAGGGCCGACTTGTAAAACGTCAGCTTTTTTTTCTAACAGCAGCACAAAAACTCTCAGCGGTTTCTAAGCAATTAAATTTTTAGTTGATGAATAAACCAAACACTCCCCTTAGAGCCTGGGAACATCCGGTTGTGAATCCATCCGAGATGTACTAGTTTTTATCATAAAAGATATGTAGTTGGAACGCTATTAATACAGTGTAACTGTCTCCAGGCTCGATTACCGCAAGTTCAGCATTAAAAATAAAGGACGTCGAAGCACTGATCAAGAGCACTGGACTTTATGTTGATTTCCAATGATTTATCTTTATAACAATATACCAATGCTCAAAACCGTCAAACAAATACAAATAAAAATATCTAGTTCATGCGACGCGAAAGGACAAAGCCGAACAATAATTGGATGTGATAAAAACACGAACACACGAAACGGCAAAACAACTAAACTAGAAATAAAACTGACGAAATGAAACTAAGAAAGGTAAAAAACACATGCTTACAGATTGTCTCCTCTGTACGCCTGAGTAGTTATAAACGCAGGATCCAAAAACTTCACAATAAACGCGATAAACTTAGCAAACGCAAAAACACAGACCATGCTGACGTGCAATTTTTAAAGTATTCTCCAGTACTACGTAAGAAGTGTTTAAATTGGCCCAGTTGTTCCTGAAGTTAAAATGTAAGAATAAGTGAGTATCTCGTATGCTTCTCTGAGTTTTATATCTATCAGAACAGCGCTCATCAGTAAGTAGACAATTAATCAGCTCCATGTACAATCCACTTGCAAGATGTTCAAACCTAAGGTAGGTTTGACCTTACACGCGGCTATTTAGTATGTAGAAACATGCTGAGAAGGCTCCTTACACTTTTTTTTCTGCAAAAATATTTCAACCATAACTATAGAGGTAAATAAAAACAACAGATCTTTTACACAAAGAACATCGTCTTACTTTTTCTCAAGCATCTCCTTAAAATTGTTCCTAGGGAAATCCGGGTCGGAGAAAATCGTTGAGTTTGAATAACCTGACGTCTGAAGAACATTACCCAGACATTAAGTCAAGACTCTCAAGAATACGACTATCACAGCTTTTTCGAGGAAAAGGTGAAGTAAAGGGAAGAATTGACCCAGAACTTGAAGTCAATCAAAGAATTGTAACATTTATCGACGACTATGAATCCAGAGGGACTGTTCGTTATATTGGTGAAGAAAAAGACTCCAATGGAAACGTTCAAAACATTCTTGGCCTGGAAATGGTAAGGCCTGTACTTATAAGAATTTTGTTTGTGAATAAGAGCAGTGATAGAACATGTATTGAAGTTTAAGATTCAGTCATACGGTACTGATGCCGTCTTTATATTACATGACCTAAGAAGATGATGTTCTCAGAGGATTATCTCCTGAGCCACAAGCAAAGATTTCGGGGACGTCCATTTGAACAGGATTCGTGCCACCTGCTTTCATTATCATTTACTGATAGGTTATGTTTTATCTTCAGGAATGACTTTGCTTTAAGATTTGCTGCTTTGTGTCTCGTATTAGATTGGCAGCAATTTGGCCTGATACCTTTAGAGAACACTTTCCCATCACTTAAGGCTGAAAAGCAGCCATATACTCATTTCTCGGAGTTTTGCATTTAAAGTGTTGTAGTTTTGTAAATGCTGATAGCTTTTAACAACTTAAAGCAAATTAGTGAGAAAACAAATAAGTTATCTGCAGTATTGGTTAAAAGAAAGAAGGTAGAAATTGTCTCTTGTATAGCTGCGTAGGTTTTCTAGCGACTTTGTGATATTCTGGTAAAAATAATTACGGCTGTAAAATTCCTTTTGAACTTCGGGTAGGACGAAAGTTTCAGCATAGGTGGATGTGGAAGAAGGAATGGGAGACAGCTATTCACTTGTGAAGATGGTTTTTCCATGTTTATTCCTCTGGAATCTGTTATGCTAGAGAGAGAGTTTGACGCTGAACATAAAGAGTCTGAAACACCGGATGAGGAAGAGAGTTCTGAGAAATTCGATTCGCAGTCCGACGATGATTCATCAGGTAAGGAACACTAGTGTTTTGAACTTAAAGCCGACTGTGCTAGGTGAGCTGTAGAGTTATCTATGTATGAGACACAGGCACAAAACTTAAAAATCAATGACTGTGACAGCAACAATAGATAAAAGCTCTCATTATCAGGGCAAAAATCACTGTTCTGCCGAAATAATTTTTTTTGGTTTTTTTTTAACACGTCAAATACATGAACCACTTATTACTTCCCTGGGAACTCATTTGTTCTTCTAACGAGCGTACTTGTGGTTGGTTACCTGTCATGTTACCCTTTCACAATAGAATATGCAGTGCTTGATTAATGCTACAGGTCTCATTTTGTTTGATTATCTAACGCCTTGAGCATTTGGACTTCGGGCTCTGTAGATTCTGACTTATCATCATTATCTGGGTGTTTAACGAGCTTTTGGGTCCGTATAAGATTTTTTTTTTGATAGATTGCATGATGCCTGGCCAGTTAAGTGCTGAGATTTACCATTTGGATTGATTTTTAGAAACGGGTCCTGGTCTTGGGGCACAGTTGGATGAAGAAACAACGCATCAAAACAATGGTATTTCGAAACAGCAAGTAAGAGAGGAACCAGAAACTTTTCTGAACAAAGTACTTCAAGAAAGTGAGAAAGAGCAAGAGACTGCACTTCAACTAACGCAGGCTGCCGAAGAGGATTACCAGGAAGATTTTTCCATTACAGCTGTTAGATTCCACGACGGAGAGAAAGAGGAAGAGCGACGAAAGGAGAATTTTTGTTCAGGATTAAGTGACACTGAACAGAGATTAAGAGAGGAACTTACAAGAACAGAAATTAGAGTAGTTTTGTTAAGCAATCAGCTCTCAAGAAAGCATCAGGATGCGGAAAACTTTCAGAGACAAATTCAGAAGATGGAGCAACAGTTGACAGTAAGAGAAGATCGAAAAGAGAATTTTAGAACACAACTAGATAAGGAGCAAAGATTGCGAGCGGAATTAAACGAAAGAGAAACGACAGAAATTCTGCTACGAAAGCAGCTCAGAGAAAAGGATTGTCAAGAAGTAAGTCTCCAAAGAACACTATGTGAGCAAGAGCGGCAACTGGAAAAGGAACGAGGATTACGAAAAGAATTAATAGAAAAAGAAACAACAGAAATTCTGCTACGAAAACAGCTCAGAGAAAAGGATTGTCAAGAAGCAAGCCTCCAAAGAACACTATGTGAGCAAGAGCGGCAACTGGAAAAGGAACGAGGATTACGAAAAGAATTAATAGAAAAAGAAACAACAGAAATTCTGCTACGAAAACAGCTCAGAGAAAAGGATTGTCAAGAAGCAAGCCTCCAAAGAACACTATGTGAGCAAGAGCGGCAACTGGAAAAGGAACGAGGATTACGAAAAGAATTAATAGAAAAAGAAACAACAGAAATTCTGCTACGAAAACAGCTCAGAGAAAAGGATTGTCAAGAAGCAAGCCTCCAAAGAACACTATGTGAGCAAGAGCGGCAACTGGAAAAGGAACGAAGATTACGAGAAGAATTAATCGAAAAAGAAGCAACAGAAATTCTGCTACGAAAACCGCTCAGAGAAAAGGATTGTCAAGAAGCAAGCCTTCAAAGAAAACTGAGTGAGCAAGAGCGGCAACTGGAAAAGGAACGAAGATAACGAGAAGAATTAATCGAAAAAGAAGCAACAGAAATTCTGCCACGAAAACAGCTCAGAGAAATGGATTGTCAAGAAGCACACTTCCGGATGCAACTGAGGATGCAAAAGCAACAACTGGAGGAGAAAGTTAAGGGAGATGAAACTTTAGGAGAACAATTTCAGGAAATGGAACGCAGGTTGAGGGAAGAAATAACTGAAAAAGATGCAAGACAAGTAGTTTTGTGTGAAAAGATCACCGAAAAGGACCAGCAGTTGACGGAGATGATACAACAATTGACAGTGACAGTGGAGCGGGAAGAAGATCTTAAGACGCAGCAGTTTATCGGAGCGACTAATGACGAGGAAATTCCATTGTTTGTTACTGAGCTGATGGAATCAAATTTGCGCGAGCTACTGGAACAACGACCTCTTTCCCGTGAGGAAATCATCGTAATTTCGCTCGATGTGGCTCGAGCGTTGAACTACCTCCACCAAAAGAAACCTTTTCCTATTTTTCACCGCGATGTTAGTAGCGGCAATGTGCTGCTGTGGCGACAGGCTAACCAGTGGCGAGGCAAAGTGTCAGATTATGGTTCTGCTAAGTTTGAGGAACAGTTCATGTCAATTGGCCCAGGATGTTTCGCCTACAGTGCACCTGAAGTGCAGATACCAGCAAAGCAGACAGCAAAGGTGAGAAAATAAGCTTACAGAATTACGTTGGAGAAGTTTTTTTAAAACATGAACCCTTTACAATTAAGGATTAAGCGGTACTTGTGTCTTAACTCAGTCTTAAGTCGTGTGCTCGGTCAACGCGACGAGCACACAACGGCAAAGTGTGCTCAGTCTACAAAAACGGCAAATTGTGCACGGTCTACACAAACGGCAATGTGCTCAGTCTACACAAACGGCAAAGTGTGTTCAGTCTACAAAAACGGCAAATTGTGCACGGTCTACACAAACGGCAGTGTGCTCAGTCTACACAAACGGCAGTGTGCTCAGTCTACACAAACGGCAAAGTGTGCTCGGTCCACACAAACGGCAAATTATGCTCCGTCTACGCAATCGGCAAAAAGCTTGTGAAAACAGCGATCTTATTTCATTGTCTCTTCTTGTCCTGCTTTTCAGATTGATGTCTACAGTTTCGGTGTTCTCCTCTGTGAAATGTGCATTCAGAAATTCCCAGAGTATCAAAACCGTGAACGTCAAATCGCTCAGATGACAGACCAGGTATTGCAAGACCTCGTCCGCCGATGTCTGCGGTCAGATCCCACTGAAAGACCAGACATGACAGAGATTATCAGTACACTGGAAGAGTTCAATAAAACGTTGTAAGTTTGTCGGGGCACGCTTTTTAAAACCATTATCAGGGTTCTTTTTTTTAAGAATACTAAAGATGAAGAGTTAATCTGAGAAAAAAAAATTATCAGCTACGAGTCGCTTGTAATGCCTATGGAGGATCACGAATTTCACAAAAAATAGGCTTTGTATACACTTAGAAACAATTGTCAAGTTTATGGATGAAGATAAAGCAAGACTTAAGAAAAAAATTCAACAACATTTATTCGCACATACAGCTTTGTTAAGTATTTAGTTAGAAAAGTATATAAACAAATCTTAAAGTATTAACATCAAATGATGTTGTCCTCGACTTTTTGAATTATTCAAGAGTCCATTCATACTCAGTTAGTTCAGTGTACGCGTTGGCTTTATAAAGAAATGCATAAATTTTTATCATAAGCATAGAATATTTGATAGTAACCGAGTAAACTAATTTCCCCATGTGCATAAATGTAGGCGATGACTATCCAGCTACAGAGCAGTTATATTAGGCTGTAACATGCAATCCCAGAGTCTCAATCTGCAAAACACGACGAGTGAAAACGAAAAACCTTAGGGGAAAAAACTTATCAAGGAATTTTTTCCGTATGATGGTGTTAATCAATCCATTAATTTTTAATTTAAAACCCCGATAGACAACAGGAAATCAGTTGCGCACTGATGGTTGGAGTAACTTTTTAGTTACAGGCAGAACTTTAAAAAGAAAATTCTTTGTATTTTAAAGGCTGAACGGTTTATGGCTCATTCAGTACAGAAACGTTTAAGTTTTTTATTGGGTACAAATCGGTATTTATTCAAGTGTAAGCATATTTAGACCCAAAGCAATGCTCTACGTGTCTTTTTGTTGGATTGATTTCAAAATAGTACCAATAACCGGGTTGAGAATGGTTCGTCCCAGTCTTGGATTTGTTCCCTCCCATATAAATGTTAAGATAAAATTTGTTGACACTTACTCGTTGATTTGTATCTGAGCTATCTGCAATTTTTGGTGGTTTAAAAGCTGGTAACGTTACCGTGGAACCCTGTTTTTGTCTTGGTACTTCAGTTCAATCACATATGCTCATCATCAACTGATACAGAGTGGTGCAACTGAATCATTAGTTAAGAGTCATTAGGAGAATTAAGAGTCAGTATTCATTTATAACATTGTAATATACCTGTACGTGTTATGGTGATAAAACAATATATCCAATAGATCTTAATTTGCCCACCAACAATTTTTTTCTTTTTGTACCATCTGCTCGTTCATTACTCTTGGTCTTACTTGGATGCGTTTTCCCAAGGTTCTCATGTAAACGAGTTGCCCGCGGGGTGCAAAGAAAATTGCGTACTCAGATGAGTAAACTTTTACATAAAAATTTCTGAACTCCATTATCAGGGAGGAGGAACAGAACTCCTGAGCTTCGCAATTTGCGTTGCAATGCTCCACCGATGAGAGTTCAGCGGTGAGATAAAAAAAACCACCAATATAGGTTAGGATGCGACAAGCGTTTTGCTTCCCTCTAAGATGATGCGCAATGCCGCAAAAATTGTGTGAGTGAAAAGAATAAGAAAGCGAAGGGCGTATGTTTAGCTAAATTGTCGAATGAAGAAAGGTGTTACTCGTTTTGTGACGAGAATGGGACTGGAAAACAATCTGCTTTCCTCGTGGAATGGGGCGCTTCACTCGAAGGAGTTTTCTATTTCGTGCTTAGGGTAAACCAAGGGTCAAAAACATCTCACGAGTTAAGGTCCAGACAATTATTCCTTGAGTGTCTCAATAGTATAAAGAACCTTGTAGCAACAGCGGACGTCCATAGCCCAAGTTTTAGGGCTGTGATTGACCCTTTTACTCCCAAGATCTCAATAGTAATTCTCCTTACTATCTGCCGTACAATTCTTATGACGCTAGTTTGGAGAATTTGGTCTTGGATCAACTAATAATCCCCAGATTGATATTTGTGTTTATTCTCATCAATTTTCTGCATGATATTGTATCGATATTGTAAGGAGTAATTCTGTCTTGGTCACTCATGGGAGTTACAGGATTAAAAGCCCCGCGTTGAAATTCATACTTCAGCAGTTTAGGAAGTCATCAACCTCGGGGTCGGGATAAATTTTGGTCACGCTAGGTAGCCGATTCAAAGTTGTCTAAAACGTGTATCCAATATTATTCATTATCGACGAATTTTGATTTTGAAGCTCTAGCAAAGGTGACGACACGATAGAAAAAGGAATAAAGTGCTCATACTATACAGAGGGTTGAACTTGCTGAGTGTGTCAGGTCTGGAGACAAATATGAAGAACTCGAGAAACATACCACGTCTTAAACTAATCACTAAAGACTTTTTTCTTCATCAAAACTTATGACGAATGCGCAGAGAACCCTCTACTGACTGTCATGAAAGTCACCAGTTAGTCTTGTGAATGTGATCTTTTATCAATCAATTCTGATTCTATGCCCAAAGCCAATTTAGTTTGATCCTTCACTAACTCCTTACCTTGGCTTAATATCTTCGTTGAAAATAAGTAATATACAAAAGTTAACCCAGAAGATTAGGTAGGAGACAACTTGTTTTATTTCGGGAGCAAATAAATTGTGCTTGCCAAAAGGCATGTGTACCTCCAGAAAACAACACTAGCACTGTGAGTCCATAATGGCTCTTGGATTCACGCAATAATCAGTTCATCATAAGGGCAGCATTTTTTTATGACTGCGTTACTTTGTATATACTTTAAGTTACGGTCCATGGGCGGAAAATCTCTTACAACAATGAGTCACGAAGTCTGTGCGGACACAGCACGAACATAAATTAGTGTTAACTTTCTTTGTCGCTGAGATAACTGTACTCGTTCACTTGGACGGTTGACAATAATAACAGTCCTAGCAAGAGTCAAAGCTGAGGTCAATTTGACACCAAGCATAATTTCAACGTGTTTAATCAAAGGTAAATTTATATCTGTTAAAACACTTCAGCAAATAACAATAATTGTGTCGTAAAGGTCAAAGTTGTTTGACGTAGCTCTTTCGAACTGTCACGCTTATTTTGCAGTTATTATTTTTAGCAGTTATTTACGAAGTTATATAAGAGTCTCCGTCGTTTTTCTGAGAAAAGTCGTATCTGACACTTTTCATGAGTTTCTTATCTTCCTCATCCCGATTCAGCCAACTAAGTGAAACAACGACGTAGCAAGTAAAGAAGAAGAACCTTATTTCTGTTTGTCAAAGGAGCTAATTTCGCTTTCACATCGCACGACCAGACCAATCAAAAAATTTCTCCGCAAGGTACAGAATGGAAATCGACAATGTTCAGAAGGAGAAACCCCGACATAAACACTCTGAGTACTACATCGTCCGCTTTGATCCAATTTAGAAGCTGATGCTGGGAGAGTTATTGAAAGCTTTATCAAGCTCATACGATTTTAAAATGGAAACATTTGTCCCTGTCTACCAAGGAGAGCATAAAACGCAGATAATAGTGTGTTCCACCACCAACGGAGCATTTATCAGATTCTCAAATTAGGATGCTAGTTTACTTTTGCCTTGCACTTCACATGAATCAAGGTATCAAGTACTTAGTCGGCAAGGAATGGCATGTGAACTGTGCATGTGGCATGTGTGGAAGATCTGGGTACGTGACTACTGTACATGTACGTAACTTTCAAAATGCACAATTCCCCCTTAATGTCATACCCAGATCTTACTGTGTAGCTATTATTGTAACCCCTTGACCATGAAAGGTCTGGGTACGAGACTACAATCCCCCTTCTTTGGAATGTTTTGTTTTATAAATGCTGATGTCCTGTTTCCGAATAAATTAACTCACCCATTCATGCACAGACTGTATTTTGATATATCACCAAGTGTACTTAACGTTTTTATGAGCTTCCCGTTATGTCGCTAAGGAAAGTGAAAGCGGCGGCTGTTAAATGAAGTCAGGCTCATAAGACCCAACCATGACCATGTATATTTTGTTGGTTCGTCAATGTGCACTCTTCTGTGTTTACAGTGGACAGGTAATAGAAAGCTACCTGTTTAAAGAGTATTAATGCATTTTAAGGATTTGGCATAGGGGAGAGCTCTCATTAGCTTAACCCTTAAACCCTCAAGATCTGATTGTTAATTCTCCTCACCGGCTGCTATACATTCTCCATTAAACTGGTTACAACAAATTTCAACAAACCAATTATCAAAGTTCAAATGCCCCAGGGCTTACCTGGGAAGGAGGGATGTTGACGCTTCAAATGAATAGAGGCATTAAATCTTATTAATTTCTGATTTCTTTCAGCAGATTGAATTGAATTTGGTCATTATCCTCCAGTACGTTTTACTGTTTGATCGCCAATTTATAACCCTTTTAAATAAAACTTGAAACCCTATCTTGTCTAGTGTTATTATGTATATGGTTTAATTGGGGTACACCACGAACTAGTGGAAGGATATGGCGTGGCGTAAGGGTAAAGAAAGTTCTCACTACTCAACATTTTTTTTCTTTTTAATTGAATATTTAGAGACTTTTCAAGCACCAACCCTATTTAGCTATAGTCAAATATCTGGTTAAAATTGTATGATAATATCGTTATTTTCAATCTATGTAGTCGTTTCCTCCAGATTTACTTAATGTATAGAATATGGAGGATGGTTTGAAATTCAGTCAGATTTAGCGGCTTATCGATTGTTACTTGATTGAGCTTTTGTTTTCAAGGCATTACCTTACCCCACCCCCGCTTAAATAGTCACCTTACTCCCTCTACCCCTGTAGAGCAGTACATGCGGTTCCATAGTAATCAGCCATCAAGGGACTCGGTCCGGTGACCCTTTCAGTGAATATTAATCTCTATTAATATGAATCTGGACATCGATAACTGAGAGGCCTGGACTGGGTACAGGCAGGGTGCATATTAGTATTTTTCTTTTTCTTTAAGATTGAGCGATTTGTTCAGCATATAAGTCATAAGACTTGGGTAGAGCCAATGGCTATTCACCACGCTAATGCGTTTTAATTGCGAA